GCTTCCTGCTGATCATTGAATGTGGTACTGAGTCCTCCAGCATGTCCATTAAGGTACCACTTTTCTCTGCCTTCTTGAACCTTGGCCCAGCCTAGGAGCCTCTCTTTCCTCTCTGCTACTGGGAGAATTCTGGCTCTGGCGTTGTTCTGAGTCTCTGAATGGGGCTGTAGCTTGGCCAGACCTTGTACCCTGCTACAAGTGGTCTGTGAGCTGCGCACTAGGGGTGAGCTGTCCTGGTGTTCCTGGGGCTTGGCTGTCTTGGGGTCTTGGAATAAGTCGGTGCCCAAGGCTTGTCATCTTTCCTCTCCCTCCCTCCACAACTTGGTGCCGTGCCCTGACTGCTCAGACTCACTTCTTCCCCAAGGTCAGCCAGGACCACCTGTCTGATGCCATCCAGGCCCCAAACCTGGCGGGGAGAAAGGTCACTGTCACACCTCTGGCTGGGCAGCGGCCACCAGAAGTGGAGAGTGCATCTCCTGAAGAACACAGGCTCATTCCTCGAACCCCTGGAGCCAAGAAGGGACCCCCAGTACCAATAGAGAATGAGGATTTCTGTGCTGTGTGCCTCAACGGGGGAGAGTTGCTGTGCTGTGACCGCTGCCCCAAAGTGTACCACCTTTCCTGCCACTTGCCAGCCTTGCTCAGCTTCCCAGGGTGAGTCATGCCAACCGCAGGCCTGGGCCTGGATAGCATGGTGATCTTCCAAGGGAGATTATTCGAGGCCAGGCCCACAGAGCTCCCTCGGGTGGGCTTCCTCCCTCTCTGGTCCTGCATGAATTACAGGTCTGTGACTTCGTGGCGCTATAGCTGTGTGTCTTCTGCACACAGACAGGTGGATGCTTCCCTTCCTCCTCTGTTCCCAGCTTCCTCCTGTCCAGATTTGTCCCTCTACCCGTCTCCCAGCCCCTTGCTAACTCCTAGTTTTCTGGATCCACTAAATCCTGAGTTACTAAATTTCTTTCAAGCTTGTGGCTAGGAATCCATTCTCTACAGGGCAGGGCTAGGGACTCAGTTTCTCATGTCACCACCCCCCAAGCTTGTCTTGGGGTAGTGGGACAAGGGAGGGGGCTCTGGGCAATGTGCTGAGGGCTAACTTGGCCTCACTTGCCTCTGCAGGGGAGATTGGGTGTGTACCTTGTGCCGCAGCCTGACCCAGCCTGAGATGGAGTACGACTGCGAGAACGCCCGCTATAACCAGCCTGGAGTGCGGGCCCCTCCTGGCCTGAGCGCGTATGACCAGAAGGTAGGGAGGGGTCTCTGGGGCAGCCTGCCTGTGCCCATGGGAGCTGAGTCTTTTCTGAGGGGGTGAGAGGCCTCTCTGGATACCTCTCTTTTGGGCTATGCCTACGGGGGTTCACTACGATTTTTCTTCTGCCAGCTGTTTTCCTCTGGCCTGGGAGGCTGAACTGTGCCTTAGTATAGCAACTCGTACCCTGTGGGACAGAGCCATCAGGGTCGCTATCGTTAGTCCTTACTGAGATGGGGCCAGAACAAAGTAACACGGTTGCCAACTCTGCTTTCTGCAGAAGTGTGAGAAGCTGGTACTGTCCTTGTGCTGCAACAGCCTCAGCCTGCCCTTCCACGAGCCTGTCAGCCCGCTGGTAAGGAAAGCCTCACTGCTTCCGCCGGCTACTGGACTTTCTGCTCAGAGCGCCCTGGGCCTGGAGCAGATCATGGCGGTGCCCAGGGTGGGCTCATAGCGTGGCCACTGGAAGCAGGAGTAATTTGTGCATGGCGTAGGGGACCCGGGGGCCATGGCCACTACAGCCCCCCAACCAACAGCTGCTGCTGCGTCAGACCTGACTTGACATGTAAACCACTCCTCCTTTTCCGTCTCTCTTTGTCTTTTCCCTCCACACGTTTCTTCTTGCTGCCTTTGTCTTATGTTCTATTATTTCCATTCCAACTCATTCTCTATCTCTCCTTCCTTCTTATCCTTCGCTTTTTCCTCTACTTCTCTCTTCCTATTTGCTTCCCCTTCTCTTCCCCCGCAAGGCCCGGCATTACTACCAGATTATCAAGAGACCCATGGACCTGTCAATCATCCGGAGGAAGCTGCAAAAGAAGGACCCAGCTCACTACACCACCCCGGAGGAGGTGGTATCAGACGTCCGCCTCATGTTCTGGAACTGTGCTAAGTTCAATTATGTATGTCTTCCCTGTTTTCCCTCTCCCCTATTTCCAGTGACCCCAAGACTGTCATGGCTGGACAGAAGTGTCTGGTTCGGGCCTGGGCTGCCATGAGGAACTGGGAGCAGACCTCCTGGGGCCTACTGTAGTGAATGTTTATAAGCTCTTTCCCACATTTGGGCCTCAGCATGGACTCAGGAGGAGTATGGGGGCTGCTAGTGACTGGCCATCTGTGGGTAACTGTCAGGCTCATGTCTGCTTTAAGAGCTGATACTAAACTGGTTATCCTGGGCCCTGAGGAGAAAATGTAAAGTTCAAGACATCCCGGAGACCCAGCCAGGCTTTGCGCTCTCTGTATAGCTCTTGAGGGGCCTGGAAGAGATGGGCTGGTGGAAGGGGGCCAGACCATCACTGCCCTCCTCCCCCTTTAGCCCGACTCAGAGGTTGCAGAGGCAGGCCGCTGCCTGGAAGTGTTCTTTGAGGGCTGGTTGAAGGAAATCTACCCGGAGAAACGGTTTGCTCAGCCAAGGCAGGAGGACTCAGACTCTGAAGAGGTGTCTAGTGAGAGTGGGTATTCCACTCCCCAGGGCTTTCCATGGCCCCACTGCATGCAGGAGGGCATCCAGCCCAAGAGGCGGCGGCGACATATGGTAAGGAGGTGCTGCCAGCTGGCAGGCAGGTGGGTGGGTGATTGGGCTGGCAGGGGGCACCTACGCAGCATGTACAGAGTAACCTGAAGTGAAGCTGCTCAGGTGGCACAAGAGAGTGGTGACAGTGAGCCCTCACTTCCAACCCCTTAGCCTAAGACAAAGGCAAGGCAGTGCAGGGCTCATCAGCTCCAAGGACCACTGAGGCTCAGAACCCTGAGACATGGGTGTACCTGCCCAGGGTCACCCAGAAAATTAGCAGCAGGACCAGGCCTCCTGACGCCCAGCTCAGTGCTGGTTACTCCACACTGTGATGCCCATAAGAAGAGAAGGACCTGGTCTCAGTGCCTGATCTCAACTTGGGTTTGGGAGAAAGGGAGAGTCTTTTCAGCCCCTTGGTGTAGAGAAGGCAGGAGAGCTTTTGTTGCAGGAAAGACATCTCATCTGACCTTTTGTCTGGTCTCACCTGTGCAAACCTGAAACATCAATTCAGTGCTATTTAATTCTGCTGAAATGTATTGCCTTCCCACTGTGTGCCAGGATCTGACTAGCCATCCCCTGTTGTTTGCAGCACTTGGCACACAGTGTTTAGTGGCTTCAGTGAGTTTTGCTGTTGCATTCCTGGGGTGGAATAAAACACTTTGGCTCTGGGGAATCCCAGTCTGGACAGTTGGCCTTTTCACATTGATAAACCCTACACTGGGCCATTCTGATGCCAAATATTTTTTTCTTCTTTCAGGAGAATGAAAGAGCAAAAAGAGTGTCGTTCCGCCTGGCCAACAGCATCTCCCAGGTGTGAGGGCTGGAAGGAGACCAAGTACTCCGGCAGCTGGCGCCCCGTCCTGTTGACCACTCCTCCCCACCTTTCAGCTCATTCTCTTTGGATTGTGGATGTGAGACAAGTCTTGTTGAGCTTGTAGTGCCCTTCTTTGCCGTTTGCATCTTACAGCATTTATTTGGGTGCCATAGTGCATCCACTACAGAGAGTAAACAGCAAAGAGGGGGGTGTTCCCTATTACCCGAACTGTCAGTTGTGTAGGGTCCACTTGACAAGACCAAGCCCAGTTAGGCTCGGAAGGACCAAACTTCCTTGGTGAATTCTTTCTGCTGAGGAAGGCCAACATTTCTCACCTTTCAGTGTGCAGGGCTCAGGAGCAATGTATATATCTGAACTCCTCCTGGGCCCAGAAGAGGGTAAAAGAAGGGAGAGAGGTTCTGACATATGGCAGGCCTGTGATCCCTGGCCCAGCACAGCCAAAGACTGTCACTGTTTGCCTTTGTTTGGCCTGCTCGGACAGAGGCACCTGCCCTGGACAGGGCAATGAGGCTTCTAGAGGCCATAGGTCTCAACTGGTGCCTCTTCGGGTTCTAACGGTTTTCAGGGTATTTGTTTTTCATGCCCCCTTTCCTGATGCTGACTTAGGTGGCCGCTGTGAAGCTCTGGATAGTATGGCATTCTTGATGGAGCTGGGTGGCTGTGCAGAGACCACTTACATCTTTAGGCTCAGATTTCACTGGCAGGCTTAAGAAGATGTTAACTTCAGAGCCTGCCATCTGTGCCACTACTTTGGTGTCAGAACCTGCTTCTTAGAAGTGATTGTTGGCGGCCACCCCTTCATTATGTCCATTCAGAGGTCCAGACCCTGAGTTCTGCTTGGGAAAACTATGAGGAAGCTGCTGCCTGCTTCACATACAGAGGTTCCAGGCCAAGGAGAATGACCCACAACCAGCTCACTCTGCTGGGTCTCTCCTCCTGCTTAGAGATCTTAATTCTCAGCTTCTCCACTTCACAGAGCCAAAGATCAGAAGTGAGTCCTCTGACTCGCCTGCCCTCAGGCTGTCCACAGCCCAGAAAAAGCCAAGACTCTGTTGGCAGCCCTTTTTTTGCTGGAGGTTGGAGAAGGCCAGAGGGACCAGCAGGAGCCAGACCTAAGCATTCGTGGAAGTTCTATCTGGCGTGGAAAAGGGGAAAACTGAGAGGCAAGAAGCCTCTTTGGTGTCCTTTGGTGACCCTGAAGCAACTTCAGGACTTTATTTCTCCTAGAATGCAGAGAGAAGTGTTCTGGAGGTCACAGGCCCGGGAGCGGAGCTCCAGGCTGCATCTCAGATGGATTGTTGTGGTCTGTGCAAGGTGTTTGGGAGGAAAAGGCATAGGCAGGTGCTGGGGGTCAGGCCACCATGAGCAAGGGCTTGGTTGAGAGGGAATCTATTGCTGGTGTTGGCTTGGCCTGGGGACGGCTCTCCCTGGTCCTGTCACGGCTTAGCTAATTTCAAGGGAGCTGTAGGTCGTGGCTTTACTTTTGCTAAGAGATGCAGTTTAAGGAAGTTCTTATTTGTAGGGCCCTTGTTAATGGGATAATTTTGATCAGAGAAAACATTTCTTCTCTCCTTGTGAGTGGATGGAACTGCTCATTTCTTTTCCACCCAGGCTGAGAGAGCATCTTCACTTCAAAGCAGACTGTGCCCACTGACTTGCCATTCTTTCACCAGCACATGCCAAGCTCTCCTAAGCAGTTGAACTTCCATAATCCTATTTTCTAGTTTGGGGTAACTAAGTCTTGAATAATCCAGTAGCCAGGCAATCTTTGCATGTAACCCTCTACTCTTTGGAGCTCACATGACTTTACGGTTTGGGCTCTGACCACTTCCCTTTCAATTTTCAAATCTTTTTCTCTGTTTAGTTGGCTTGGCAAAGTTCTCTCTGTAATTACCTCATTAATTCCTCCTCTTGGTCATCTTTCCTTTGTGTGGCCCACCTTCACACCTCTGAATGAGCTTCACCAGTGTTTTGTGTTGGGTAGCTGGGTGAGGGCTATGACAGGCTCAAACCCAACTGACATCTTTCCCCAAGACCAGCTAGAAACCACAAATATGAAGGAAAATACCTAGTTAAGTGCTTGGCTTCACTTCTATCAGTGAAGTTGCCAGCTTGGGTGTAGCCTGCTGGGCCAGGGGACCTTAGTAATGTGGTAGAGAGTCACATATTCCCTTCCCACTGCAGAGACCCTGCATGCTGAGAAGCTCCCTTTAGGCACCTGAGCAGTGGGGCAGGGGTGGGAGGTAGGGTGTCCTTTCCTCCAAGGGTGTGAAGCCCCGGCCCACCATCCCTACGTTGGTTACCCCACAACAGCGCCCTCTCCCTGGCTTTTCCTGTGTACTTAGCACCAGTGTTTTAACTGATGGTTTTGTTTTGTTTTTGCATGCAGAAAACAACATGATGTTTCAGAAGTTGAACAAAAGGCTACTAGCTGAGTGACTGACTTCACTGGCTCTTTGCTAACATTTGAGCTAATCCCGTTTTTGGCTTATACCCATAATGGCCCCATTTTGGAGTCAGTTAAGTCCTTTGGTCATTGACAAAGTCATGAAATGGAAATACAATGAATTCTGGATTCTTATGGTACAGAATGCAGTCCTAGAAGAGAAATTGGGTTTCTTGGGTATACTGAGAGACAGAAGAATGGAGTGGCTTCGGTTGATGCAAAGGAGATTTTAGCGCACTCTTCTAGAAAATGGGTAGGTTGGCCTTGCCTAACTTCCAGCAATTGCCAACTACACACCCTGCCTGTCTTTGCAGGTACCCCCTCCCTAGCAGCAGCCACCAGGTCCTCTGTAGGCTCTGCTCCACAGAAGACCCTACCGTCAACCCTGGCGGACTCTGGCTCTCGGTACCCGTTTCTGGCAACAGGTCTTTGCCTTGCCTCTAAGACCTAGACCTCTCCTTGTTTGTTCCTGGGCTCTGCTCTGCTTTCTCCCTCACTCCATGGTGTCACCTGTAGTCCTGTCTTCTGAACTCCTGAACTGAGACTTTGCTCTTTTTGGATTACCATCCCCTATGCTTCCTCCTCTCCCACTCCTCCGCTGCTACTAAATAAATTGCCTGCTCCTTTAGCCCAGTTCCAAGACCTTAGCTTTCTGTCCTCCCAGTCTTTCAGCTTTCTCCTGGACCTCTTCCTCTCCTGAGCCTAAAGCCATGGCCCACGACACACTGATGGTTTTGTCAGCATCCTGAACTTCCTCATCTCCTCCAACTCTTGCTGAAACTATCAACCATTCTCCATTTTCTGCATCAACCTATTTTTTGCTCCCTTTTTCTGGGCTCCTAAGCATGAAAAATTCAGAGTTGACAGTCTCAGTTGGGCTCTCAGTATTGATTGGTGTGTCTCTGACTTGTTACTACTCTGCTTTCTATCCATGCCCTTCATCTTTGCTGTCAGCAAATGACTGGTCTCCTTGCCCACTTCACAGAAGAGAGGCCCTAAAGCAAAAACTTTCCTGTCCGTGTGCTCCTCTCCCCCTCCCATCCCTCTGTGTCTGTATCCCTCCTCAGCTCCTTTCCAGTTGCTCCTAGTTGGTGCTCTATTCTTGAATCCTGCTATATGTCTTCCAAGACTTTGCTCCATTGCATATCCCACTGCTCCCATTTTCCAGGGTCTTCAACCTCCCTCTCCATTGGTTACCTCCACATAACTTACAAACAAACAAAGTTCTCCCCAAGATTAAAACAAAATTTCTTAGAGTCTGTTGCACTTACAGTTTTTTTCCTCAGTAGCCAAGTTCCTTTAAAAAAAATCTTTTCATTGATTTCTTCTTCATCGCTTTCCAATCCTCTATAGATTTTCATAAAAGTCACCAGTGACCACCCAGTTGCCAAATCAAGCGAATACCTTTCTGTCCTCAACTGTCTTGAACTCTCTACAGCATTTCACATCATCTGCCTCTTCGTGTTTGAAAAACCCTCTTCAGTTGGCTTTCATGACTCCACAATTCTCTGGACTCCTCTTACCTTTCAGCCACACAGGCTGAGCCTTCCTTGAAATACTGACAGGGGGACACATCTGTAGCTTTCTGTGGTCCCTCCTCTTCAGGAGTAGGATAGGCAGGAGGAAGCACAGCTGCCCCTGCTCCCCTGCCCTCTGTGTCTGCCTGTTCTCTTTGAGTTCATTTCTTCTCCTGGACTCAGTTCTCCTCATGCCAAGCATGTGTATGAGCTCTGCTGGGAGGACACCATCTGTGATTCTTTCTGTCTGTCTCTCCCAGTGCAGCACAGAGATAGATTTTAGCCATGTTTGCTAAGAGGCCCTATATAAATCAGCCCAAGAATGTGGATTGGATCTTACCAAGAAGAAATTTGGTAAGCTGGATTACCCAGCTGGTGGGCAACTCATCACCAGGATCCTCATACCAGTTAGAGCCTGCCTTTGTCGGTAAGGTCTTGGAATCATGGTAAGCATGTTTCCATGCATGGTTCAGTTCTGCTAGCCAGGAGGAGAATCCTGGCAGGGGTGGGTGTCTGCCACTGATAACATTCTGACGGAGGGAAACTGGGCAGTGCTGTGATTCATCACTTGCTTGGGGTTCAGCTGGGGTCAGCCTGGCCCCTTTAGCCGGGTCTTTCCCGTCTGTTCTGGTCACCACCACCTGCTTGCTCCAGTTGTTCCTGGAGCTAGAGGCAGATGCCGGTTGTTTTCTTGGAGGCAGGAGGGTATGGTAGAAAGATACCTGATTTGAGATGCTGAACATCAAAATTTTGGCTCTGCCAGTTGTGAACTGTGTGACCTTGGGTACAGTTTCCGCATCTATAAAGTTGTGGGGAGGAGGGATGGTGAAAACAGTGCTCTCTCAGAGGCTCTACAGCTCTGAAGATGGTAATGGTGATTCTAATTCTAAAGCTCAGGCCACACAGGGAACAAGGGAACACTGGAGCAGTTCACAGCTAGGGAGTCTTGACCAAGGCAGGGCAAAGGGACTCACAGGCCACAATGAGCTGCTTTGAGGAAAGTCTTTAGTAGCTGGTGC